GTTTGGCTTGCTGTATCAACTGATGAGAGAGAAATATTGAAGTCTCCAGCTGTTGGAGACCACTATGAAGCACCTCTGAACAGGATTTATATTAACCAATTGGCTTTTCATGTTTACATATGAGTTTGCCCAATGCTTAGGCCCCTGGGACATCAGCAGTGGACTCATAGTAAGTGAACCTCTATGAATCACTGGTCCCTGGTGAGGCCTGTATTGGCCTGCGAAGTTGGGATGCCTCAGAGGACAAGATAAGGCCACAGCTGAGGACATTTGGCTCTAACCCCAATTAACTAAGAGGAGATTGCAGCTGCAGAAATCTTACTGTTGCAGTGAAGGCCTTCTTGGAGATAACGTAGTTCTCCCAAATTAACATAGTGTATTATCTGGTGAAGTCCTTAAAGGGTTTCCCAAGACCTGTCCCCACTCCTTCATTTGAAGTCTAAATAAATACAGGCTGCCCAGGGAAGTTCTTTATCTTAACCTAGAGAAGCTTGAATTCTATGAGATGGTTGGACCCTCCTGGATCCCTAAAATCATTTCAATTGTCTCATTTATTTAAGCCTTTGCCATCCACTCCTTTGGGAGATTGTGGGCCTGATCAGCCTGCAATAACTAAGGGATATTATTAACATGATATCCAACTGTAATTGTGGCCTTGTCAATACCTTCTTTCACTTATGTAATTTGTTTTGCTTGTTTTGAAACTTGTTAGTTGTTTTGTTATATTTTGAAGCTTGTTGTTCATATACATTTTTTCATGTTTTCCTTGAGAATTAATACTTTTGTTGTATATAATGTCCCACATTATCTTTAGTAATTTGCTATGGATGAAATCTACTTTGATTTTAATATTGGTAAATTAGTTTTCTATTGGTCTTAACTATCATGATACATCTTTAAAAAGTATCCTTACCTTTTTGGTTGTCATTGTCAACTGATCCTTTGTTGCAGTATTTTCCTTTGTAATTCTTAGACAGCTGGATATACTACTGCACCATCATTTTTTTTTAAAGAGAAAGGGACAAAACAAATTAACAAACACAAAGACATAAACAAAACAACATAAAAACAAAAATGATACAGAATTTCAAACAAGATGATAGGAAATTAACAATTATCATTGTATTACATATTGTTATCTTCAAATTGGTTACACAGATAACAAGATATAGGCATGTAAGGTAGATTAAACAATTAAACATTGTGTTTCTTTCAATAAACTAATAGAAATTAGTAGTACAATTATCTTAGCCATCTTGTGTATATTTATATATTTTTTTCCTCCCTTCTTTCTCTTTTTCTTCTTTCCCTCATCCCTGTTGTTCTTTCTTCTTGGGCAGTTTTTCCCCTTTCAATATCTATTGTACCCTTCAGATTTTATTTTCTCTTTCAGTTTCTTATACTAGGGAGAAAATACAATGTTTACACATATGAGTCTGATTTATTTCACTTATGAGTATGGTCTCTAGTTGCATCCATTTACCTATAAAAGCCTGGAGTCTGTCTTTCCTTATAGCTGAGTAATATTCCATTGTATAAAAATACCACATCTTTTTTATCCATTTCTCAGTTGATGGGCATTTGGGTTGTTTCCATGATTTAGCTATTACAAATTGCGTTGCTATAAAGATGGTTGCACATGTATAGCTGTGGTATGATAATTTTAGTTCTTCTGGAAAAATACCCAAAAGGAAAAATAGCTGGGTTGAATGGGACCTCCAATCCTAGTTTACTGAGGAATTTCCAGACTCATTTCCCTAGTGGTTGCACCACCCTACACTCCCTCCAACAGTGGAGAAGTGTTCCTTTTCCCTCATATCCCTTCCAGCATTTGTTATTGGTTGATTTCTTGATGATAGCCATTCTTTCTGGTGTAAGATGAAATCTCAGTGTTGTTTTAATTTGCATTTCTTCAATGACTAATGATGTTCAACACTTTTTCATGTATTTATTTGCCATTTGTATTTCTTTATCTAAGAAATGTGTATTCATCTCAGACGCCCATTTTTGTATTAGGTCTTTGAATTTTGGGGGTCCGATTTTTTAAAATTCTTTTTATGTTCTAGATAGAAGTCCTTTGTCTTAGGGGCAGTTGACTAAAATGTTTTCCCAACTTGTGGGTTTTCTTTTTACCTTGCTGTGCCATCACTGATGTCATCTCTAATGTTTGAAGAGTGGTCACTCAGTACTGCAGACCATAGACTGGCAAGTCCCTAGGATCTCTTAAAAGATTCTAGAGAGTTCTCTAGCTAAATGTTAGTGCTGCATTTTCTAGGCAGTGTTGACAATCACACCAGAATTGTATTTCTACTTTGATTATGTATTTCTGCTTTGATTACTGTTTTTCTATCTTTCTCTCTCTGGGTCATTCTTTGAGGCCCTTAATGATCAGAGCAAAGGAAGAATGTTCTACTGTAATCTAGGTCTGTGTTTTTGTACTAGTCAGTTTTTCTGTAATTCTTAGACTTTTACAATTAGCTGTTTTTTCAGCTAAATAATACATAAGATCTAATCTGCTTTTAAAAATAAGACCTGGGAAGCTAATTTTAGGGACCAGAGAAGATGTGGCACTGACTTTTCCGCCAGTATGTCTCAGGTACATAACTTTAATATTGTGGTTAAATCTGGAAGACACAGAACAGATAGACTGATGTTGGATGAAATTAGAAATGAGGTGACAAAAGAAAGTTGAAAAACCAAAAGCCCATCCTTTTACTTTTAACCTTATAGTATTATGTTTGAAGTGTATGTCCACTTGCTAGCATATATTTGGTTTATATTTCCCCCATTTGGAAAAACTCTTATTGACTGGCTTGTTTGATCATTTAAATGTAATTGTTGATATGTTGAGATGTAAGTACACTATTTCACTGTCTTCTTCTGCTCCTTCAATATTGTTTTCTCTTTACTGCCTTCTTTTTATTTGAACTTTTTTCTTTTCTGTTTTGATTTATCCATTGAATTTGATTATTTCTCTTTGTATCTTTTGATCATGCTGAGAATACAGTAAACATACTTAACTCTTCATAGTTAGTTGGAGTCAGTGCTTTATCGTTTTAAGTGGAACATAGAAACATTACCACCATATTGGCTCCTTTATCTTCCACTCTTTGTGCAATTAATTGTCTTATATATTACATTTACATACATTAAAAAGCTCATTAGAAGAAGTAATTATTTTTAGTTTCAACATCAAATGTGAAAACTCCATAGGAGAACAGTAGTCTATTTTATTAACAGCTGCTCAGACTCATTCTATAAGAAGGAGAAAATCTTTCACATTGCTCCAACCCCCTGTTTATCCCTATAGCCTCTCTCCTACCCCACGTAGTAGGATTTCCTATGGCTGTGATAGAAACCTTTCACCTGGACCTTAATAAACTCTTAGGGATTCTGGTAGGGTGTTATTAAAAGTGCAGTTTCTCCTTGTGAATCATTCATGAAGTATTGGTTTGTTTTGGGGGCAGCAATAATATGATGGAATGTAAGCATTCATAATTGAATGCATGTGGTTGGCTGCATTGTGTTTTTATTGGACAATGCTTGAACTTGAAAACTATCTAGGTCTTTGGGGAAGGGAGTGGATAACTAACATTAACTAGAATCCTTCTTCTCACCTATATGCATAAATGTCTTAATAGTACCCTGTTTTTCCCCAGTGTGTTATAGCATTTATTGCCTCAGAAATCTCTGTCTCTGCCTCTGTCTGTCTCCCTCTCTCTCTCCCCCCCCACACCCCCCCACACACAATTTCATTACTGAACTATACAGGTAATATGTATGTTTCATCTAGGTTTTACCTAGAAGTGTACATCCTTAGAATGTAAGCTTTAGCAAGTGTAACCAAACATTTTATCAGAAAAACAGGATACTCTTGAAGCAAAAGGGGATAATATTCCAAATGCCAAGACAGCTGGACCTCAGAAAAAGCATCATAAAAAGCACTGCACCTGAGGATGAACAACCAACAGTTATTTGAACCACAGTGGGGGAAAACTAGTGGCAATGGTTTTGACCTTAGAGGAATTTGAAGAGAGTGTAAGATCAAGCTTTAGGATTGAAATAATTCAGTCATTCAGAATCTCATTCCCAAGTTAAAAGGAATTTCCTTGAACATAAGCTCTTTTCATGTGCACAACCACTTTGTAAGGGAAGCTATTATTTTCAGTCAGAGATAAGGAAATGGAAGCTTAGAGAGGGATTACAAAAAGTTCAAGATCATATAGCTAGCATTTGGCACAACTGACATTAGAATTTTGCCCTTTCTGATTTTAGTCAGTAACTGGATGCTACATAATGTTGTGTGCTGGGTACAAACTTTGGTAGCAATGAATCAGAGTCCAGATCCCAGTACTGGTGCTATTTTAGCTCTGTGACCTTATTTCACCAGTATGATTACAGTACAATTGTAAGAGTAGTAGTTTATGTTTATATGGTGCTTGCCATTTGCTCTTCTCGTACTAGTTGCTTTCCCTATGCTATCTCATTTATGCCTCACACTAGCCTCATCGTGTAGGTACTATTAGAAGCCACATTTTGCAAATGAAGGAGGTAGCTTGAGCCTCTTTCAGGCTGGAAAAGTGCTTACTGCATTGTAAATATACAATAAATATTGTTTTTCTTTCTCTACTGACTAAAAGTCAGACTACAGCGCAGCTCTTGAGCCATTCTATATTTCATAATATGGTTCAGGAAGGTTTTAGATGATCACCTTTTCTAAAAGTGAACCTGTGTTTTTAGTTTTCCCAGAATCTCAAGAATTGCTCTCTCTCTCTCTCTCTCTCTCTCTCTCTCTATATATATATATATATATATATATATATATATATATATGTAGGCCAGACTCCCTCCCACCTTCTTGAAACTGTTTTGTACCATGCAGTGGTTGTGGCCATGCATGAGAAACAGCAGGTGGTGCCAGATGACAGATGGTGTGGAGCCTGTTTCCCGGTGGGAGGGGGCGCGAGCGAGCCAGCGAGCAGGCAGCTGCGAGGAGATCTTCCTCATTCTCTGGCGCCTCGCTCTCAGAAGCTCCGGATCCCGACGCACGCGAGGCGCTGTCCTTTCAGCACCACAAGCCCGGGGCTGCAGGAGGGAGGACTCCTGCTCGTCCTCTGCTTCAAATTGGCTTGAATCTTCTCCGACCCTCTAGAGTGCAGCGCAGTAAGTAACCGTTTGTTTTTGTTGTGACCATTCCCCATTGTCTTCTAAACCCTTACTACCCTTGATTTCCCCACAACAACCCCGTTTTGTCTAATAACGTTCCATTAGCAGGCTTGACAAGAGAAATTCAGTCGTGCTGGAGCACTGAGGGTGGGGTGGAAGCACTGTTTGACTTCCAAGGGAGCTGGAGAGGAATAAATGTGATCTGTTTATTTAGTTGGCAATCTTGCAGTACAGGGGCTGCTAACTTTCCATGGAAAAACAACAACAAAAAATGGCCCTTCACTATTGAGGAAATGGAGGAATTCCATAGCTGAATAACAGGTCAGGCTTATGCCAGCCCCCCATGTTTTTGGTTTTGTTTTACAAAATTTAATCTAGTGTACAATCTACATATGATGTAAGAGGGTACACATAGAGGTATTGTATGTATTTATTGTGCTTTCGGGGGATTGGTAAAGAAAAATCCATACAATAAAATAGCAAACCAGATGGTGAAATGAAATTTATCATACTGCAGGATTTCATTTTGCACTAAGATTACACTTTCCACTGGGATTATATGAACACTTTAGCTGTAGTGTGTTGGGTATTTTTAAGCTTGTATTTTTTATGTAGATCTGGGTTTTCCTTAGTTCCACCTATTTGAGGGCTGATGAGCCCACTGGTCAGGTGGCATGTTCTGATGATTAAAGAAGTTTTACTGGACAATGGGAATCATGTCATGTCATGTAGTGGAAGATCGATGAATGATCACTAGATAGAAAGCCACTCAAGTGGAGCTGTTGAGGACAACATTATTTTCTCTGTCATCAGCCCTCTCCTGCCTCGCCTACTGCTGTAACCAGAATCCTACTGCTTACCTTAGGTCTGGGAAGAAAGGCATAAGGATGGTGAAGCTGAACAGTAACCCCAATGAGAAGGGAGCTAAGCCACCTTCGGTTGAGGATGGCTTCCAGACCGTTCCTCTCATCACTCCCTTGGAGGTTAATCACTTACAGCTGCCTGCTCCGGAGAAGGTAAATCAAGTGCTCTTCCTCTCATCAGCCTCTCTGAATCTCCCCATCCCAGGAAATACAGCAGCAAAAAATTCCACCTCAAACCTTTTCATTCCCTAATCAGCCACATATACTCCCTTTCTTACAAATGTAGTTATTGTTTCCAGTAACAAGACAGCACTTGTGCTATTTTAAATTTATGATGCTCATTTTTAGCCCATATCTACATACATGGGTGAGCAAATTAACCTTTCCTTGTCAAAGTTTTATCACAGCATATGAATACAAATAAGCTCCTAGATGGTGACCGAAAAAAGCCTGTCTTGATTATTTTCAGGAGATGTTTCAAAAATTGGCTGGTGTAGATTTAGGACAGAGAATTGGATTTAGCCCAACAAACAGTCAGTTTGGACCTGTTCAGATCTTGTCGCTATACTAGGAGTTGGTTGTAAAAAGAAACAATTATGAAATCCTTATTCAGTATGAAAAATGAATGTAATGCATCATGGTAAATGCTACGCCTGGGCATTACAAAGAGTGTGAGAGTCCATGCATGGAAACAACTACATTCTGTCAGGGTGGGAAAAGGATGAGGGGGATTTTGGGATAGGACTAGGAGGATAGGTTAGATGAGCTGCAGAGGGGAACATTTGAACTGGGTTCTTGAAGGTGACCAAAAACCTTCCAGGTAGACCCTGGAAGGAAAATGCACGTAAGTCAGAGGGCATACATATGCACACTTGGGGAGCTTTTGGGGAACAGCAGAACTGGAGTAGAGTGTCTTTAGGGGAGGCGCGGCTGGGAATGAGTGACTGGCTGATGGCACATCTCCTGACATGGGAGTAGTCCATGAAGAATTGGAGGTGGCATTCATACAAGGGCTGGGGTGGAGGATGTTGTACCATTTATACAGGTGGGAGAAATATTGTCATTTAGGATCCACCTGACAGAACTTGCTATTTTATAATATGAGCTTGTGTATAACATAAGGGAGAGATTTGGAGGTAAATGATAGAGTTCCCTGGCTGAAGAGTGAACAATGGATCATTCCATCTGTTTGATTTTCTCATTGGCATGTCTAGGAAGGCATTGTGTGTCTTAACCAATTGGCTCCATCCAATCAACAGAAGAGGAGTCAAAGCTAGATAAAGAGCCTGGCTGATTGGCTGGGTATTGAGTCATTTGTTTTTAAAGTGCAGATGTTATCAAAATGAGAATGTACCAGGGTGGGATAGCAGAGATAAAGAATTCTTGAGCAATCCTGAGAAACTGATAAACCTTTCAAAATAAACTTTGAACAGGTAGTTAACACTAAAGAAATGTGAACAGGTAGTATTGAGTACTTGTTACATATATGTCAGATAGATTTTTGATTACATCTTAGAATCATATGGAAAATTTAAACTTCTGATATCTTGATCCATATCTCAGAATAATTCTATCAGAATGGCTACAGTGGGAGCTGGGTGGGTATCAGTATTGATGAGAGTTCCCCAAGTGAGTCCTACGTGCAGTCAAAGTTGAAAACCATTATTTTAGATGGGTGATAAGTCTCCTGGGAGAGTTTATAACTCCCTTAGGAGTCAAGAGTTATAAACTCATATTTATAGATTGAAATTTAGTGAATTATCCAAGTTACCAGAGGGAGTAAATGGAAATGCTACAATTTGAATCCATACATAAGAGGAAACTGGATGGGAAAAGGAGAGTAATTGTCTTGAGGTTCTGTGAGACCAACAGCTACAGCTTTGCAGACCTGAGTGGTGTGCAATGAAAAGGGACTGTGATGAGGTTACCCTTCTCCCAGTCGTCCATACACCCACAAGCAGAGGTCACTGTGCTCTCTTTCTTCTCTTACTCTTCCTATCCACTTGGGATTTTTTTTTCTCTTTGAATGAAGAGACTGAACCAGGATTTACTCAGCATCCAGTCCAGCAGTACCAGAAAATCACCCAACATGTGAATCATAAATATCTTATTTCTATAGTCGGACTTGCTTGGGTGGAAAAGGAAATATGCATCCTAAAAAATTCTATGGGTCCAAGTTTGACTCCAGATTCCTAAAGGGACACATTGCTATAAGGACTCATTATAGACTCCCTCAGATGTTCATGGAGAAAATCTTTCGATGAAGTAGACCTCAGTTTCCTCTTCTGTGAAGTGAGGGGATCACACTCAACCTACAATGGGGAGAACAAAGAGAGATGTGGTCTCATTTATAAAATGTCCAGTACAAAATTGACCATGAAAGAACAATGGTTACCATTTTCCAAGTGCTTCCTAGTTGTTAGAAGCCATCCTGGGGCATACACACCTACACACACTCACATGTATGCACACAGATGTGTACCTCTTTCATTCTGTCAGTTGTTAATAGACTTGAACAAAGGAGGTATGATTTTTAAAACCCGAACTTTAGCAAACTCATTCGCAGTGCAGTCATGTAACCTCCAAAAGCAAAGCATTGGTTATGGAACTCAGCAATGTTCCATCCAGAATCTTCCACATCAGCAAGAATGAGGAGTGAGCTTGCTTGAGAACCCATAGACTTAATCTCTAGCTCTAACTCAGTCACTAACCCACAGTGTGCTTGAGTTTTCTCCTGTAGGTGTGTGAGGTGAGCTTTAGTGCACCCACCTCACTGATGAGGAAAACAAGGCTCTGGTCAATGGAGTGTCCTGCCCAAGTTCCATGGACAAGAGGTAAAACAGCCAGGCTCAGTGTTCCTAACACCCCAGCTTTTTCTTTTGCATCATTCTAGATTCAGTGTTAAGAAGTCCCCTACTGTGGGTGAATGCTTCTTCAAACTCTATGTTCCCTCTTCTTTGGCTACAGATCCTAGCACTCCCTCCCAGATAGGCTCCTGTACCTGCAGGTGAGGCCCCGGGGGTGGTTTTCCAGAAAGAATGTCACCACCTCTATGTTTCCTCCCTGTCTAGTGTTGGAGATATTGGTGCATACTGTGGAAGAAGAGGTGGCCAGCCTTAGGTTGGTTACCTGCCTCTGCTATCATCACTTAATTCTCCTCACTGCTCCCGAGACTCCTCAGAGTTGTGGCCAGTCTCCTCCCATGGAAACCCTTTCTAGTCCTTCATTCTCACATGGTACCATCCTCAAGCCTTCACCTTGGCATTCCAGATCCTTCATTGTCTAGAACCACTCTTCTATCCCTACACTTTCCCTTGCAAATCAGCATGTTACATTCTCTAGAGCAGCAGTTTTGAGTAGGGGGAGAATGTTGTCTTTCAGGGAGACAGTTATCAATGTCTGAAGACATTTGTATTTTCACAAGTGGAGAGGTAATTCTACTGGCATCTAGTGAGTAAAGGTTAGGAATGCTGCTAAATATCCTACAGTGCACATGATAGCTTCACCTGCAATGAATTATTCTACTCAAATGTCAACAGTGCTGAGGTGGAAAATCTCTGCCCTAGAGTTTCCTACATCTCTGGGAGGTTTTTATGCCTCATTGTCTTTGAACATACACTTCTCACCCTTTGCTTATCTGATAAGACAGTACTCATCTTCCAAACTCAGTTCAGACAATAGTTATCGTGCACACCTTTCCTGGATGTCCATGAGTATAGCCATGTTGTTTATCATACTGAAAGGTTTCTCTCTTCCTTTCTTTTCTCTCTTTTTTTCTTTGCCTTTCTTCCTTTCTCTTCCTTCCTTTCTTTCTTTCTTTCTTTCTTTCTTTCTTTCTTTCTTTCTTTCTTTCTTTCTTTCTTTCTTTCTCTTTCATTCCCTCCTTTCTTTTTCCTTCCTTCCTTCTTTCCTTCCAATCTTTTTGAGTACCTTCTGTGCACCAATCACTCTACCAGGCTATGTATATACATCTATGAAAAGACAATATGGCCACTGACTTCTTAGAGTTCCATGTCTAGAAGGGAAGAGGGGCTTCAAACAAATGATCTCACAAATAGAACTATATAGAAGCAAATTATTAGCGGTGCTATGGAGAAAAAAATGTGTTGTAATGTAAGAGAGGGTAAAACTTAGGAGATTCTAATTTTGATGGGAGGATGGTCAGTGAGGTGTTTCTGAGGAAGCAGCTCTGGTTGAGACCTGGTAGGGGAATGAGGGCAGGCATGCACAAAGGAGGGTGGAGGAACAACCACCAAGATTGGTTTGGATGCTGAGAGAGGGTGAGAGACTAAGGAGATGAGGTGAGGTGGATGTAAGTCATGTGTGGTCTGGAGTGCTTTTATTTTGAAGGGATATAAAGTGCGAGAATGACAGGATCTGTCTTATTTTAGGAAGAGTGTTCTGATTGCTTTGGGTAATCCAAGGGGACAAGGGATGGACAGGCTCAGTCTTATGCTTGGTCTTCAGGGCTCCTCTTTCTCTTTTCTCCCAATCATTTTTACATAGAGTACCACATCATTTATCCCTAAAGCAGAAGTGATTCTGTTTCTTGCAGTTGCCCCATAAAAAGCGCCATAGGGATGATACCAGCTAGAAGGCCACTACTGTGTTAATGACTTGATGGTGGTTGGGGCTAGTGCAGTAGGATTGGGGACTTGGTTGGATTTATTGGTGCTAGGTTGGCTGTGAGGAGACTTGGGCTTCCCTGCTCCACTTTCCTACTAGACCAGGGGTCCCTGGTTCTGCATCACCTCAGTAGGTTTAGTCCTGACATGTAATAGGCAGTGAGAAACACTGGCAGAATGAGGCACCCTCTTCCTTGTCTAGTTAAAACTGGCCTCATTTTCTCCACTTGATGTATGGAGAAATGGACTCAAAACTAAGAATTTGAGTGGCTTTCTTCAGAACACAGGCGCAAGCTTTGGAGAAGCTGGGACATTAATTGTTTGATATCCAGTTCTGCAAATGCCTTTGGGGCCTTGGTGCCCTTAGCTTGTCTAAGTAACCACAACAGCTCAGATATCCCCACAACACATATGTGAGGTTTCTATTGTTATCTCTATAGAGCAGAAGCAGGCCCAGAGAGGTTACTTGCTGCTATAGGACACACCAAGAGAAAACACTGCAGCCATGATCCACATGCAGGTGTGCTT